CTTTGAACATTGAAGTTTATTTGTATAATGGATAATATACATATGCTTATTATAATATTATTATAAATATACATATGCTTTCGCTAAATATCCTGTTGCTTCTTCGTACGTTTCTACATTTGTTGAAAACTTTAGTAGTGTAATCGCGATAATCGGATTTCATTATAGTGCTAAGCTTAGAATGTTTCGTGTATCGCATATAATATATTCATAAAAGGTGCCAGCAAGTGCTTAAATATTCTCGCGAGCCCCTTTACTTCTCGGTGTATGCTAGCGTTCAATTAGAGAGGAGAGTAAATGACTACGAGAAGCAACAAAATGGTCTACCAAACAAATAGCTTCTTGTCTTATTGCTTTCTTTCGCAGGTTTGCGTCGCGACGAACTCGATGTAACGGAGATCCATTAATGACGATTGATTAGCATACTATTAATATGCCGCCGACAGACCAGAGGACATCGTGAATAATTAAATCCTCGAAATACGTTATTACCGACGCCGAAATGAAAGCTCGGTGCTTCTAGCTTTGGAATGAAACGCCAAAACCTCACTTGGCACCCTGTATACTTAGTAAATATATACTTGCGGTAAACTTCTATATACATTTTCTGGTTGATTCTACATTTTACTGATATAATCATAATAATTTTGTCTCGTTAGAATGCTAATCAAGTTTCAAGCAGTTTCATATAAGACACATAATATATTCAGAAAAGCTTTCTATGGTAAGTCTGCAAATACTTTCACGAGTCACTGTACACGGGGCTAATTCATAACCATCAATTACTCGACTTCGTCGCGAGGACGTGTGGTCGATAGCTACGTACTCGTAGTGGAGAACTCTTAAGCGTTATTGACGTGTCATCGAGCAAGATGCAGCAGCAACGTTTCCGCGTTTAATAATTTTACAACATTGTTCGGTGGCAGCGTTTTGCCTATCTACGTCGCAAATTACGAACACTCTAGCGAACACGTCGTTCATCGCGATCCTGCATCGATAAAATAGCGACGCAGTCCTTCGAGGATACAGGATACTCTTGACGTTTTATTCTTGCGCTCTGGCCGCGTTGTAACGCGTTTTATTGCACCCGTTGCGTTTTTATTGCGCCACTTCGACCACCGTCACTCCGAGGAAATGCAAAACTATTAAACCGACGTTCCTACCGTGTGGCCACATCGCATTGCGAGGAAATATGCACGCTGCTTAACGACCAACCGTTCAATTCTCATCCTCTCTTCTTTCCTCGTTTTTTAGTTGTCTGCCGATGCATCGACATTCGACTAAAAGCAATTTCATTTAAATTACCGGCTTCTTGTGCGATAACTTTGTCGAGCGAAAACGAGCAGAAAAGCATGAAGCGAGTACTGTGAACTGTTTTGGTATATCGTATAATAGTGAGTTATTTGGAAAGTTTTTGACAATGGATATATTAGGTTGTAACGTAAATTTCTCCTCTTTCTATATTTTATTACACGATATTTATGAAATAGGTTTGAAATATCATTTAGTTTCCGATATGTTTGGAATTTCATGAAAAATAGCAGGCGTCACCTGTCGTAATACGTTTGTATCAAGCTGAATAAAATGAAATGAATTTTTAATTTTTAGACATGAAGTTAATAAGATCATGTTGATCTGACATTGATCCGAGATTGATAAGAGAAACATGTCAGTATTGTTATGTCAATAGGAGGAGAAAATGAGACGAACATACATATGTTACAACCTGACACAACGGTTCATGAAATTATTTCAATGCTTACAGAAAATTTTATAAACATTATACATGTTATACAAAAGATCTTGAAATTTTATTGACATTTTAATAATACATTGAAAAAATTTGGCTGATCGTAAATTCTTTATCGAATATTAAAATGCAAAATTTAATTAAACGCTATTCCTATTTTAAGAGGAAAATTGGAATTAATTATTTAAAATGATGTCGTTCGTCACTAAAATTGCATTGCGGGTTGATGTGAACTAGATATTACATATATAGTAGATCTAATTTCATCTCACCTACCAAATATAGCACAAGTACAATAGAAGCTGTATTATTACCAGACTATCGATTATGGGAACAATCAATTACCGGGACATTAATTGAGAGAAGATTTGAAGATAACCAGTCGTTAGAAAGATTGAGAAACAAGAATAGAAATTGAAAAAATTGTTATATTTTTATTCGAAAGTGTCTGTCTCTGTTTGATATTAATATTTATAGAACAGTCAACAATAAACGATTTTTGATACGAGAAAATAATTGTTCTGTTATTCGAATAACGTATGTTATGCATCATTCATCCTTTTCTTTTCATAACATTTCCTCAATGATGAAAAACTGAATACCTGTACGATTTGCAGGCCTGAAGTAAGCAGGTTTCGAAGCGATGATTTATTTAACATCGAAAGTCATCGAAAGAAACCAACCATTATTCCATGAACCGTTAATTCTACAAAAATACACGGTCTTTAAATTTCTCTTCCATTTCGCAACGAAATTTTCAAACAATTCAATATTTCCTTCCATTTAAAAAAGAAAAGCAATTCGACCTGTCGTCGAACGCAAGATGAACAATAATCGCGATGGCTACGTAGAGTTCTATTATCAAGAGCCACCGATATACGCATGTGCCTTCGTCGTTCTTTTCCAATCGACTAATGCAACCCCCACACAAAGAGCTTTCACGAGTAATTTTCAGGTTAAGTGAGTCGGAACAGCCCCATTTTTCTGAATACCTCGCGATCAACCTGCTACTCGGTCCGGTTATCGGTTAGACCGTTGTCAATATGTTCGCCTGCTTTTTAATTTATATCGCGGATGGCTGCGTGGATTAAGAGTTCGATAGAAGTGTCGATTTTTGAAGATTACAGCTAAAAGAGTTGCTCGCAAGATGGGCAATTTATCCGAGATAATCGATTCGTCTCGTTGAATATTAAGAGGAAGATAAATTGCGAATAAGTTTTTATTTTTATTATAATGTACCACGTTTTAAATCTACGTACGCGTAACATCTTTGAAATTTTAGACACAACTTGCAGAAAACTGCGCTATTCGTAGTTACAGACTGCGGCTTTTTATACAACGTTATTACTATGGTCATGACTTAGAAAAAAAGAAAAAAAATGAAAATTGAATAGCTATTTCTTTCACCTACCAAACATTACCCGGATACTTTGTATACATTTTTGTGCCGCATACGTTCTTGCATTTTTAAATTCGCCATGAAAGCATAGGTTTTCGCAGTGAACTTTCAGCGTAATTTAAAGTAAATAAAGAAAAAAAAAACAAAGCCAATCAAAGCACTCACAGTTTTTCGGCGAGAAGAAGGCTGGCCAGGTCTCCAGGAATCTGCGTGAGTCCCTGTTGAGAGCAGTCGACCTCTTGACCGGTACACGTGCACAACCACGGGCATCTACCACTGTTCATCTCCTCCATCGTACCCGACAAACTTCCGAGACCGAAGTTACCGAGGGCGGTACCATGAGAGGCGCCACCGCCCAGCACGGACAATATCAGCAGAAGTCCCCAGGCGCAGACCACGGAACCGCAGCTGACGCCGAGCAAACGCAGCGACCAAGCCGGCGTCATGGCACGTGCCATCGCCAAGACCTTCCGATTAATGTCCTTCACAGCACGATTAGGTCCCTCGAGGATTTTGGCGATGCTCCCGGCCCGGCTCTTCGGCCGAATATTGTTCGGATCGTACAGACTGAAGCAGGCTGCCTCGTTGCCCGCCA